GTCGACTGGAAGGATATTTCCTGTTATTTTAGCTTCAGTTTTCAATATATTATGTTTTGAAGACAAGGTAAGCAATTCCACCATGTCGTGAGAATTCTTTAAATCAATACTATTCAAAAGAGACTGTGAGTCTCCCATGTAATATGAAACATCTGGTAAGCACACCATATCAAGTCACTTTAAGGGCTGAGGAGTTTTCTCTGTGGGTAGCGATACTTAGTTTTGCAATCATGAGTTGCGTGAGCTCGTGTCTCCAGCACCCAGCTAAAAAATCAGGTCATGGCTGCACATGCCTGTAACTTCAGCACTGAGTAGAGGAAGAGTGTAGCTGGCTTTTTTTTTTGAGCCACCAACTAGCTCCCAAATAAAGACACGGAGACTTACTATTAGTTATGAATGGTTGGTCTTAGCTTATGCTCGTCCCACTAGCTCTTAGAACTCAATTTAACCTGTTTTCCTTCATCTACATTTTGCCTTGGGGTCTTTTACCTTGCTTTCATTCTGTATGTCCCACTCTGTGGCTGGTGACTGCCTGGCTGGCTAGCCTGCTGGCCCTGGGCATCTTCCTCTCTTTCTTACTTGTTCTCTATTAAAACTAGATTTCTCCTCTTTCGACTTATTCTCTCTGTCTGCCAACCCTACCTCTCTGCTGCCTACCTATTGGCTGTTCAACTTTTTATTAGATCAATCAGGTGCCTTAGGCAGGCAAAGCAACTCGTCTTTGCATCATTAAACAAATGAAGCATAAGCAAATGTAACCCACCTTGACATAGTTAAAGCAATAGTCTACAGCATAAACAAATTTAACACATTTTTGCCTGGTTAAAGCAATATTCCACAACAGAAAAGGCAGCGAGATTTCTGAGTTTGCTGGCTAGCCATTCTAATGGGGGTGGGGTGGGGGTGAGAGGGCAAACTGAAAAGACACATTCTATCAAGAGAAGAAGGTGTAAAGTGATAGAAAATGACATCCAGTGTCCTCCTCTGGACTCTGCAAAATCGCATATAAGGTACAGACACATGCAGACATACACACACGCACACACACGTACATGCAAGCATGCACAGAGCTACTTTAAAATCAAATACATTAAAACCTGAGATAGTCAAATTCTCAAGAGAAGCCTTGTGTGTGTATGTGTGTGTTATGTGCCCATATTCTTGTATGCGCATTTGTAAGTGTGCAGGTGTGGAAGCCAGAGGTCAACACTGTATGCCTTTATTTCTTGTTCATCACCTCATATTTTTTTAAGACACAATCTCTCATTGCACCCAGGGCAACGCTTATGCAAAACGTAGCACAGGTTAAAAAGCAAAAAGGGATAAGTGAGAGCAATTTTTATGATATATAGTAATGGATCGCCTTGTGAAGGAGTAAATTCTGAGAAATGAGTCATTGGGCAATTTCTTTGTTGTGGAACCATCATAGAGTGAGTGTATTTAACTGAACTAAGGTAGTGTGGCCTCCTACACACCTATATTATATGGTATAACCTTTGCTCCTATACTCCAGATTGCCCAGCACGTTTATCAACTGACTCTCTAGAAAACCGTGTCAGAATGCTAAGTGCTTTTGTGTCTAACTATACCCAAATATAGGAAAGCCACCGTGAAACACAGTGTGATAAAATGCATGGGGCACTCACCTGGAAGAAAATGTGTTCCGGGCAAAGGACTGTGGGTTGCTCCAAGCTGCTTGCAAGTGAGCAGCGAGTGAACACGAAGGCATCAAATCTCACTGTGGATGGCCTTACTTGTAAAAAAATTAAAAATATCATTCTTCCTTCAATAATAAGTTTAGCTCAGCTTAGAAATAACCTTAATTTTTTGGAAACTTCTTGACTTGTTTGTAATGTTGGTTAGGTTAAAACACAACTGTTATAGTCTTTCTTTATATCTCTATTACATAAGCTTTAATCTATTTAAAATTTTATTTTTCTTAAAATATTTTATTACATCTATCTTTCTATCTATCTATCTATCATCTATCTATCTATCTATCTATCTATCTATCTATCTATCTATCTACCTACCTACCTATCTCTCTATCTATCATCTATCCATCCTTGGAGGACAAGGGAGTGTATGTAAAGGTCAGAGGACAAATGTCAGAAGTTGGTTCTCTCTTTCCACCATGTGGGTCTTGGAGATCAAATTCAGATCGTCAGATTTGGCAGCAAGTACCTTTACCTGCAGAAACATCACATTGGCCCACTTTTACTTTTTAATCTTTATGTTGCCGTTAAAACCGAGATGCAGATTCTTAGCACTGTTAACTGCGTCCTTCAGTATATATAGTCAGTCCCTGGGGGACGGTCTTCATGGTCATTCACTAAGCTGCCATCTTCAATTCTAACAATACCTTCTCTGGATCCCTCTTACAGAGTCTGTCAGAGGCAGCTAAGTTACCAGGGGCTGTAAATATATTTAAATGGAAAGAGTGCACTTTGAAAATATAAGTATGATATAGTAAATATGCAAACCAGGCACAATCACCTTATTGTTATCAAGTATTAAGTACTGTGCACAATTGCATGTGACTTGAAGTACAATAGGTTTTATTTTTCTCATTAGTACCCGGTCAAAAGTAGGAGTCTTGGGGCTGGTGAGATAGATCAGCATTTACACTGCCAAGCCTGGTAGAAGGCCTGAGTTAAATTCCCAGGACCCACTTGGAGGGAAAAAACAGGCACCTTCAAGTTGTCCTCTGACCTTCCCAGGCATATTCTCTTTCTCTCTCTCTCTCTCTCTCTCTCTCTCTCTCTCTCTCTCTCTCTCTCTCTCTCTCTCTCTCTCTCTCTCACTCTCTCTCATACACACACACACACACACACAGAACACACAGACTCCCATCCCCAATATATAAATATATATATAACAAAACTTTTAAAAAGTAGATGTTTAATGCTGTGCTACAGTTTTCTGATAGGTTGATGTCATTTGGAAACCATTTTTTTTTTGTTTCTCTTACAATCATATGAAACCACCGCCACATAAATTTATTCCACTTGCCCCAAATATTATAGTTTTGACTTGTAAACCAACACAAATTTATTTATCATAATTTATCTTGCATTATAACGTTTGCACTAAGTCTTTGCAACACGCCATGGATTTTTGTACTGACAGAACATGTCGATTTGCTCTGGACACTCTGCAGGCACTCAATACCCACCTGCTGTTTGTGGAGACCATATTGACGGTGCACCAGCAGACTGAGAGGAAACCACTGAGATCGCTGGGAGTGTTAAAGTTATTCAACATCAGGCTTCTTGGCATCAAAACTTTGCTTTCTTAGAAAACAAGAGCATTCCAGCTTGCAGAGGACAACTTGCATAGAGGCTTTCTGTGTGAAATGTTTGGGAATAAGCAGCTGGCGTCCGTTCTGTGTCTGGGCTTCCGCGACACTCTCGGGCTGTCTTTTCTGCTCTGGTCTGTTCTAAAACAGACCCGGAGAGAGCTCAGTTCTGCGCAAGGGCCAACTCAGAAGCCAGCTGTGGGCCAAGACAAAGCCAAAAAATATTGTGTGCTGGCAGTGTCTTGTTTATTTGCAAAGGTGTCTGCTGCGGGTGTCTGGAACGGTTGAGATGTGTTCCACATTTCCATTTGTTGTTGTTGTTGTTTGGATCCAGGATGAAGTGAGGACGAAGTCTTTTTATACGCAGGGATGTTTTGAGTCCTCCTCCGCGGTGGTACAAAAGGCCCCCAGAACTTCCACTCTCGTGCTTCAAAGTCCACCACGCATCCCGCCTCCAACAATGCCACCATCCTTTACCAGGGCAGTCCTCTTATCCCAGGGTTTTTCAAGGCTTCAGAAAGAAAGCTTGTTATTTAGTGCCAAGATAGCTGAAGAAGTATCTCTTACTCTAACGCAATGAATTTATATGACTCAACCACTCAAGGAGCCTTCTAACCTCAGTGATAGCACCCGAGTTGTAGTCTTGGTTTTGTGTGTTAATCAGATGAAAATAACCCCGCTTACGTTTATGTTCAGGCTGCATGGGTAAAACCGGGTTTAACTTTGTTTCTTTCTATTTAATTGGGAATCTTGGTCTAGATGGAAAGCACAGCCCTGTTGTCAGCAAGCCCTTGCAGGAGGGTGCCTGTGCGCGGCGGGGGGGGGGGGGGGGGGGGGGGGGGGGGGAGGTAAACAATACTCAACCGACTTTCGATGATTTGAGCAATTTTTTCCTCCTCCTCCTGCTGTGTGGGGCGGGGGGGGGGGGGGAGGTAAACAATACTCAACCGACTTTCGATGATTTGAGCAATTTTTTCCTCCTCCTCCTGCTGTGTGTTTAACCACCTCCCTCCCCCAGGTGCTAAAGCTTTAACTACAGAGATAGCTCCTTCTACAAGTCTGGCCCTTTACTTCCATTACTTATTATAGATGCCCATATCAGCTTGGCACAGTTGGCTCAGCTTTGTGTCGTCATTTGTAGGGCACAGGAAGTCTTCAGATGAAGACATGAATGTACAGAGTTTGTTTGGTAAAGCAGAGCTGTAGGTCCGAAGGCAATGGTGCCCGAGGTCGTTCACAGGGATCCACAGAGAGGGTGCGCTCTCACAAATGAGAAGGTGGAATGCGGTGGTGGGACAATCCTGTGGGAACAGCCGAGGGTATTCCCAGGGCGCAGGCTAACTAGCCCTTTAGGGACACCGGACGAATAAACGAATGTGGAACGATCTAGAAGGTGGATCTTCTGTAGGAGAATGTAGAGAAAGCAGCTGCTACCGTCCTACGTGTCTCTAAAGTCTCAGGCGGGCTTTGCTCTCCTATCCCCCCCCCCCACTCCCACCCCCACAAGAAGAAGCTAATCCCGGGGACCTGGTGCGGCCCGCTCCTCTTCGCCCACAAGAGGTGTCACCTCCCCGCCACCCCTCCGCCCTCGGTCTCCTGCCCCGCCCTCGGGCGGGTGGCTGGCAGCGGTGCCCGCGGAGGCGCGGCAGGGGCGGGCCCTGTCCCTCGAGGCAGCCCGCGGGGCCAGTGGCAGGAGCGGCGCGCCGCCAGCCGCGGGGGGCGTGGGATGGGGGAGGCGGCGGAGGGGAGCGCCCGCTGCCACTAGAGCCAACCGCGCACTTCCAAAGGGTGTCGCGGCTGCGCTCCCCTCCCGCGCCCCGGGAACTTCAAAGCGGCCCGCGCCGCCCGGTCGCCCCGCTGCGCTCTGGGGCCCCGCAGCCCGGTCCGGGCCGCCTGGTGGCCATGACCCCAGCGCGCGGCTCCGCACTGAGCCTGGCCCTCTTGCTGGTGGCCCTGGCCGCCGAGCTCGCGGCAGGTACTGTGGGTGTCTCTTCTTGGTGCTGGTGGGGGTGGTAGTGGGGGCCGTCTGCGGGTGAGCACGGTGACAGAAGGTACTCGGGAGCCGGGTGGCCGTCCTGTAAGCCACGGGGGAAAGGCAGTCGGGCTGAGGGGGCGCAAGTCAGGGCGCAGCGTGGGCACCTGATGTCTGGCAGTTGAAAGGGTGGGTGTGCAGGTGTTTGGGGGACCGAATCATCAGGAGGACAAAAAGAGACTGGGGCGTGGGGTTTGGGGAGAGGGGTTGAGGTGGATGATTAATTTGAGGGCAGTTTGCAGCGGAGGGAGTAGGGGAGTATTTGTAGGTGCGTGCTTGGCTGGGAGCTGGGCGGCACTATTTCACACTGCAGCGACTTGGAGGAGTGCAGGTGCGCTCTGGGGGTGGCTCCAAGTGGAGCCCCGGAGAGACGCGCAAGGATGGGAGCGTGGTTGGGGAGGAGGTGGCAACTTACTCTGAGTTTTAGGAGGAGAAATTTATTCCGAAGGCCGTTGGTGCCAATCTTGGGAGGCAGAAAAGGGGGCTTAAGGCTGCGTGGTTTGCAACGCATGTTGCTTTCGAGGTAATGGTTTTTACTCAGTTTCCGGAAGGGGGAAGGGGTTATGGCAAGAGTCCCAGCGTTTATAACAGGTCTGTGCTGCGATAGGCTAAACAGAGCCCTCGACCCGAGCTAGAATCCAAGCGTTTCTTTTACAGTGTTTACTAGAAACTGGGGCAAATGCATCTTTGGTAAAAAAATAAAAATAAAAATAAAATAAAAAATAAAATCATAGTCTGCTCTGACTAGAAATCTTTAGGTCTGAAACTATCCGTACGTTGCCCTGGATTACAGAGAACAGGGACAGATTCGCCCCTAACTCAGTTTTTAAAAATGTCAATCAGACATTGGAAGCATTTGCACATAAAGAACTGGTGTTTTTCCATAGAGCGGTACTTTGTCCGAAGCTGATTTTGATGCTTTTTTTTTTTAAGATGACAATCTGTTTGACATTAATAGCTATACTCAGGGTGGGTAGTTTTCCTCGTGGTGACATGTGCAAGAGACTGTTTTGAATAGTGTGATTGCTGTCTTGTACAGATTTCAGATGGCCTGAGAGAATTACCAAGTACAATATTCAAGTTAAGAAGCGATAATTGGAAGGAATTAAGTGATAAAACTGAAGGATGAAAACATCCCCCACCCATCTTTAAGAAAGCAGTTACTCTAATTCAGCCAGAAAGACAATGCGGGAAAGTTAGAGTTTGGAAAATTCATCTATGAGAACAGAGCTGACGGCGGGAGAGCCTTTGTAGAAAATGGGCCAGCTCTCTGTTAACTGGAGACATTAAATGTGCTTGACAACGGAGCAGAATTTACCACCCCAAGCTACAAAACCCTAAAGACAGTCTTTGAAGCGTCACAGTTTTGATTGGCTACCTGTGAATACATCTCTCTAAGTTAACCATGTTATCCCTTTTATTTGAGAGGATGTTTTTTGAACACAGAACCAATGATACTTTTTTATGTGTGCTTGAGAGATAAGTTTTATTGCATAATAGAATTTTTAGAAAGTTTGAGAAACTAAGGCACACCAACTTAATAATACATATTCTATTATGTTCTTGACAAGGCATGGAAACTTTTGACACCAGAATGCTATATATATATGTATATATATATATTTAAGTGTATATAAAATGAAATACATATTCCACTTAAATTTGTTTCCTTAAAAACTGAGATACCAGAAAAATTCGTAATGTGGAACTAATGTATCAAAATAGTGATGAACTTGTTAAAGTTGAACTTTTGTAACCAACTTTTCTATCCAATGCAATTATTTTCAGTTTTCTTTAGGAAACTTGAAGACCTTTTGTGTCTCATGTAAGCAATGCATATTGTTGTCTACTAATAATGGGAAAAAGCATTATTTTTTCCAGGTTTTATACAGTTCGTTGATGTCTTTTTAAAATGTACTTGCTTATATTTTATGTGTATGAACGTATGCCTGCACATGTGTATTTGTGTGTGTATGTGTATGTGTGTGTATACCACATGTTTTCCTGGTACCTAAGGAGGCCAGAAGAGGGTGTTGGATCTGCTGGAACTGGAGTGATAGATGGGTGCAGGCCACCATGTGGGTGGGAGCGAGCCTGAGTCCTCTGCAAGAGCAGCCTGGGCTTTTAGCCACTGAGCTGTGACTCCCGGATCTCTTTGGTGTTTTGATAACAGAATTCCAGGTAGATTTCTCCCCAAATTAAATTGTATTTCTCAAATGGCTTCTAGTCTCTTTTTCTAAGTTATGTTGTAAATCCTACTGGCCATTTACAAATGTGTACTTGACATTTTTGGCACGTTATATGGGAAGTTGTTCTTGGCATGATGACATAGTGAAATAGTGTGTCAGAAAGCACCAACCTCCAAGCTGGCTCTGCTGCATGCCAGGTCTAGGGCCACGAGTATCTGAAAGCTTGGGAAAGTGGCTGACCCTTTCTGCTTTGGTTGATCCTCTTCAGCATCTCCGTCACCTTTGAGGTGGCCTGGGGTCACAGAAAAGATCATCCTTTCTCTTTGAGAATCCTAGAGTCATAACAGTTAGTGTACCAGCTGCTCTGTAGTAGATTGCTTAAAAGGGGCTTCTCTGGTCACGTGACTTTCAGATACCTTGTTGTTGATGAGGCCCCACAGTGTTTACAACACTCCTTGCTCATACCAAGCAAAGAATGAGCAGGTAATGTCCTAGAATCCTGTAGGGTTACACCTTGTGTAATTCTCTTCTGATGTCATGCCATTTCTTTGTCCGTTGGTCAATAAAGATTTATTGAGAGGCCAGAACATCCCATAGCATCACTCTAGAAGTACAGAGCTATTTGATAACAGGCATGGAGCTGAGGGTATCAGGTAGTGGCATGTTTTCACCCAAGCAACAGTTAGCAGTTCAGAAAACTCAGAGGCACTTCTATTGTTGTTGTTATTATTATTATTAAAAATTTCCACCTCCTCCCACCTCCCATTTCCTTCCCCCATCCCCCCACTTCCCCTCCCCCCTAACTCAGAGGCACTTCTGCAAGAGAAAGTGAAAACCTGAGGCTGAGCTTAGAAACGCAAACGCTGTTGCCACCTTTGCCCTCCTTAGGCACAGTCATTTATTGGTTGATGGGCACAAATGTGGCAAGAACCTTTCTGGTTCCAATGAAGAGATATCTCTGGCCTCAGAGAAACTGTGTGGGTACCCTTGGGGCTTATTTCATCACTATCTGAACTGCCTAAGGCTTTTGTCTTGCCCCAGGCTTACAGAGATGCAGAGTTGTGAGCTCCTCCGACTCATTTAAGTTATGCAGAAATACAAAGAATTGGAAGTGGCAGAGCTTAGTGAGCTAAGGAGGACATGATTTGACTCAAGCAATGGATATTGAGAGACAGATTGTGTGCGGGGGGGGGGGGGGGGGGGGGGGGGGGGGGGGGGGGGGGGGGGGGGGGGGGGGGGGGGGGGGGGGGGGGGGGGGGGGGGGTCCAGTCTAGGAAGAGGAGGAGGCTGCGGGCAGATCGCAGGAGCTAGACTGTGGATTAAAGGAGTTGATTAATTCAGTTGAGTTTTAAATGCCCATTAGACACTAAAGCGGACATCTTAAGTAAGAAATTGATTTTAGGGGTCTGGAATTCAGAGGACAGGTCTGGACTGATGGGAAAAAAAAAAACCCGAGCCAAGGTTATTTGCAGATTATTTTGAAAGATGTGCCGGGCTCTCAAAAGTAGTAAACAAAGCACAGACCTGGTTAAATTGGATTTCAGGTAAATAATGAATAAATTTTTAGTCTTCATGTGTCACTGATACAACACTGGCCATATATATATTGAAAATTAGCCAGGTGGAGGTGGCACATGCCTTTTATCCCAGCACTCCCAGGCGGATCTCTGTGAGTTCTAGACCAGTCTGGTCTACAAAGCGAGTTCTAGGACAGCCAGGAATGTTATACAGAGAAACTGTCTCAACAACAACAACAACCCACAAAAAACCCAAAACCAAACCAACCAACCAAATAATGCCCCCCCAACCAAACACAAATCAAAACATACACACACACACATACACAAACAAATTAGTTTTGGTGTAAATTCCCGCTATCTGGGAGCTCTCTGACTTTAGTTGGAAGCCCAATGTGGAAGCCCTGTCATAATACCAATTCTTGCTGCATGTATCCCTGATTTTTTATTTTTTATTTTTTTATTGAAAGAACAGTGAAGGCCTATTTCTGTGTCAGGCCCTGTCTTAGTACCTTTGTTCTGGTTCTGCCTCTGTCCCAGGTCTAGGATAGGTCACTGTGAACTCTTTGAACAGGGACTTCCCCTGCTTCTTTGTGGCCTAGAGGCAGTTCTAACCTATTCCAATGTGATTTTTGAATATCTCAACATAAAAACCTATGCAAAAGAGACAAACATAATATCCTGGGGTCCCTGAAAGTGACTGTTATATCAAGATAGTGGGTTTTACCCAAATTTGCAGCCCTTTGAAAATGACTGCTATTTATTGATGACCGTTTGTTTATTTGATTATTTCCTTTTGAATAATCCTTGTTGTTTGTCTGTTTGTTTTATTTTCTCTTTTAGGGAAAATCTTCCAGTGAGTAAACACTGACCCGAATCATTTTTCTCAGTGGTATTCACATAACTTATTGCAAATGAGTCGCTTGTTACACATCAGAAACTGAGGGGCTGGGGTACCAGACAAGATCATGACTAGGGAGGCTCTTAAGCCCTGTAGGACGTGCTCTGTCGAACACAATTTGTTGTTTGGGGGCATGACTTAAGAGAATGATTGCAAGTCTTTGAGAAAGGAGGCAGAATATAAATACAGAAGAGCCAGAGGCCGTTCAGCATCTGCTCTAGCCTAGGCTCCACCTACACCTGATGTCACCCGCTGATGGGCGTTGTCTTCAGACGTGGATACTTGTTCTCATGAATTCTTAAGTTCTAGATATGCTCTCACATATGGAAACATGTG